GGCTTTGCTTCTCATGCTCAGTAGGCCCAGGACCTTCTGAGCCACGGAAGTGAGCCAAGGAGGCCTTCATGCTGCTGCTTGAAAACATCCCACTGTGGCTGCCAGGGGTTAAGGTTGGGGCAGGGGATGACTAGGCAAAGCACGGAGGGTTTTCAGGCCAGTGATCATCCTCTGTCTGATACTACAACGGCGGATACATGTCCTTATACATTTGTCCACACCCACGGAATGTACACCACCAAGAGTGAACCCTCATGTAAACTATGGACTTTGGGGAATAATGATATGTCATTGTAGGTTCATCGGTTGTAACAAATGCCCCACGCTGGTGGGGGATGTTGATAGTGGGAGAGGCTGTGCCTGTATCGGGGCAGGGGAGATAATGGGAAATCTCTGCACTTTCTGCTCAGTTTTGCTGTGAACCTAAAACTGTTCTACAACGCGTGTGGACATGGCCTCCTGTGGACAGGGGATCTGAGCAGCTAACACTTGAGAACCATTTCCTTCCTATCGCGTATGTGGCTAGTGTGGTTCTCCAACCCTCTCTGAGCCTGTGGGAAGATCACACCTACTTCCTTGAAGCTGGGAACAGCCACGTACCCATGACTGGGCTAGAGCACGTAAGAGCTGGAATACTATTCCTGGCGACCTCTCTTCTGCTGCCACACCCTGAAGCACCATGGTAACATGGAGGCACCGTGACTCCTTTTTTTTGGGTAACAGTTTTATTGCAATATAATTCACATACCATACACCCATTTAAAGAGGATAATTCATTGTTTTTTAGTATTTTTACACAATTGTGCAACCATCACCACAATCAATTTTAGAACATTTGCATCACCCCAGAAAAGAAACCCCATACTTGTTAGTAGTCCCTCCCCGTTCCTCCTGAACTCCCTTCCCAGCCGCAGGCAGCCACTAATCTACCTTCTGTCTTTATGGATTTCCCTATTCTGGACATTTCATATAAATTAAATCATATAATATGTTGCCTTTTGTGTCTAACTCCTTTCACTTAGCAGAATAGTTTTAAGATTCATCCATGTTGTAGCATGTATCAGTTCCTCGTTTCTGTTTATTGCCAAATAATATTCCACTGTATAGATACATCACATGTTTATCCATTCATCAGTTGATGGTGGCTTGCCTTCACCTTTGGGCTATTATGAATAATGCTGCTATGAACATTTTTGCATGAGTTTTTGTGTGGACATATGTTTTCATTTATCTTGGGTGTATGCCTGGGAGTAGAGTTGCTACATTTTATGGTAACCTCATGTTGAATTTTTTGAGGAACTGCCAAACTGTTCTCTAGTTTCCATTCCTGGGTTAGCAGTGTTTGAAGGTTCCAATTTGTCCACATCCTTGCCAACATCTGTTATTATCTGACTTTTTGATGCTAGCCATCCTAGTGGGTGTAGTTTTGATTTTCATTTTTCTGTGGTTAGTGATGTTGAGTATCTTTTCATGTACTTAGTGGAAAAATGTCTGTTCAAATCTTTTGCCCATTTTTCAATTGGGTTATTTATTTTTTATTATTGAGTTGTAAGAGCTCTTTATATATTCTAGCTACAAATCCCTTATCAGATATATAATTTGTGAATATTTTCTCCCTTTCTCTGAGTTGTTTTTTCACTTTCTTGAAGATATCTTTAGCATCCCGTGGGTTACTGAATCCTGTGGATTATTCTGGTGGAGGGAAAAGGAGAAAGAACCCAATCCCTGTGGGCAAGGAGAGGGACTTTTCTAATAGAGGTGGGGATTTTGTCCCTCAGAGTTTGAAGAGATGTTTGTCCACATGAGATGAGAGAAGGAAGGGCAGGCTTCAGGACAGGGGAGCAAGGCTTGGAACTGAGTGCACCAATGAAGAGTCCCCTGGGAAGGGTTATTCTTCCTCTTGGATACTGTAACATTGAGAGGACAATTTAATTTTTTTCCTCCTATATTTAGTTCTCTTTTGTTACCCCAAACTCTTCAATAAAATCTGAACAGTTTTGTGTGATGGTTGAAGGAGGTGATTAAGGACCAAGCAAAAACCAAGAATGATCTAACCCACGTCTCCTTGCTGAGGCCACCCAGGGCACCTGCCTTCCTAAAGCTGCTAGAAGCATGCTGACTCCTCCTTCAGAGCTTAAGTGTCATTTCTTCAGAGAAGCCTTCCTGACCAGGTTTGCCTTTATAATCTCTCACTGCTCCCTAAACTTCTCGCTCATAGCACGCTTTGCAGTTTATATTGGTATGGAATAATGGCTATTTGAGAAATTTGTTTTCCTTTTTCCTACCCTCTTAGACAGTTCTCTGAGGGCAGGCCTTTCCCTCAACAACTAGAGCAATACCTGACACACAATACGATTTTAATAAATATCTGCCATAAGAGTGAACGCCCAGGAACCCTAGGTTTACATGCTACCAGCTCAACAACTCCTTGGAAAAGAGAGATTCTCTTTTTAATGGTTACCATAAAAGACCCAGATTAGTATCTCATTGGCCTGGCTTGACTCACATGTTCATTCCTGAACCAATCAGTGGGGCTATAGGGATGGAATATGCTGATTGGCCAGATCTGGTCATGTGTCTACTCTTGAAGCCAGGGGAGTGAGGGGGCAGGTTATTCTCATGAACTGAGAGTAGGGTGGGCTGTTTCCCTGAGGACTAATCAAGGAGCTCATGCAAAGAAGGAGGATTTCTGCTGCGCAGACAAAAACTACAGAGTCTCAGAGAAGTTAAATAACTTTCCCAAGGCCACAGAGCTATAAGCAGTGCAGGTTTTTGGGGGGTGGGGGGAGGGGCTTGGACAGACTAGCTCAGATGCTTTATTCCTGCCCCAGTTTCCCACGATCAGAATTTCAGGTACAATTTTGTCTTTTGCCAAAAGCCAGAGCAGTTTTCTCAAGGTGACCAAAGGAGCCAGCACTTCAAGCCAAAATAATATCTTCTAGATCTTGTATTTTCAAACTTGTAGCACAGAGCCCAAGGGGTAGTATACTCAATGATGGGTTTCAGGACCGTTTGTTTTTTATTTCATCCCCTCCCCCCACCACCTTATGAGATGCTGCCTGTATGTTGCTCCCCTGCCCAGGCCTCATAAACTTGAACCTACTCCCCACAGAGGCTATAGTAGCTGGTAAGCTGAAGGCCTTCATTCTCCCAAGGGAATCTGAATTTTCAGAGGCCTCAAAAACTGAACAGTCAAGGTTTAGGGACAGGACACTCGAGGGGCCAGTATATACCCAGATTGGGAACAAATCCTGGCTCTGCCACTTACTGTGTAACCTTGAGAAAGTCACTTAACCTGCCTCAGTCTCCCTGTGGATGAAGTGGGTGCAATAAGAGGGTTGTGATGAGAATGAAAAGAGATAAGCCTGTAAAGCAATTGCATGGCATAAAGGGAATGCCCTGTAAATATCAGCTCTAATTATTATGTCCAAAAAGGCACATCAAACCAGGCATTACAAATAATAGGTGGCTCTTGACTACAGAAACATGTTTACAACCTAGTGTTGAGGGGGGAAAAGGAGCAATAAATAGGAGTCCACTCTTGTTAGGAAAAACGTAAATAGACCCACGTGCATACCCAGATGTCGGCCTCTTTCTGTCTCTGGTCTGGCCACACCTGTGGTCTCTGTTCGCCTGGGGCTCACCTGGACTAAGACTCAGCCCTCCCTCCAGGTCCATGAGAGAATCTGGTCACTCCCACCATTCCAGCCCAAGGAGCCTTCACTGACGAGCTCTGTGGGACATAGGGAGGTGGTTAGGATGCACACCCTACAGCAAACTATTTGAACAGCCCCCACAAGATGCTCTCCTACTGGAAGCCTTTCCCTTTCTCTCCCTCCCACAATGCCTGGCAGCTTCTGCCTGTCCCCTCCCTCCCTCTCACCTGCAATGCTTCAAATGCCTCTCTCCTTTTACTACACAGAATAACTCAGCAGACCCCAAACCTGCAGGAGCCATGAAATATAGAAACCCTCTGCCTACAGGAGCCACCTTAGAAATCATTTGGGCAAGCCTAGCTCTATAAGCCTCAGGTTTATGATCTGTAAAATAGAGCTGTGAAACCTACCTCTTCGTTGGTGTGCAATAAATAATCCAATAAATATCATTTTTATTTCTAAAATAAGAGTTGTGAAATTTCTAAAATTTCAGTGAAAAGCATCTGGCAGGAGATAATATCAACATGTTCACAGTAGTTTTGGGTTTTTTGTCTGAGGAACATTTGTCAGCCAATCTTCCTCTTTTTCAGCTGGACCGCTAGCACAGCATAGTATGGCTGCTAACAGAGCAGCGTGGGTCCGCGTCTGGGAACCGAACCAGGTTGCTGAAATGGAGCACCGTTGAACTTAACCTCTAGGCCACCGGGGCTGGCCCAGTTATCATTCCTTTTATTTCTCTTTCTTCTTTATACCTTTCCCTATTTGTCCATTCATTCCACGGGTGTTTATTAAGCATTTACTGCGTGCCAGGGCCTGTGCTTAGAGTTGGGCGTACAGCGAAGGACTAGACAGGGAACTCTAGGGGGGCTATTAATCAAATAATTACACAAATAATTGCAATTGTCCTAAGCGCCAAAGTTTTTACAAAGTAGAAATCAGGAAAAAAAAAACAAAAGCAATTTCTGATAAAACTATTTTAAGGTTATGCATAGAGACAAACAATGAGGTCAGATTACCAGTGATTTTGGAAAGGACTCGAATACAGGAACTGGACAGGCAGCTGACGGAGCCCGGAGAGGCAGGGTGGGAGATGGGCGGTTGGCTGCCCTCCTCGAATCGCCCACGGGGAGGGCGCCGCCCCCGCGGGGAGTTGCGAGGCCCACCCCACGCCCTCGATCCGGACGCTATGTACTCATCCGGCTGGGGAGCGGCGGCCGCGGCCAGTTGGGGGCGGCCGGCCACGTGAGCGCGGCGCCGAGCGCCCGCCGGCTCCTGTCCCCGCCCCAGCCCCAGCCCGGCTACTGCTCAGCTCCTACGCCCGCACGCCACGCGCTGCAGCTGCCCCAGCTCGGCGGTCGGTCGACTGCGCTCGCGCCCCTGGCACGCGCCCCCCGCGCCCCGGGAACGCTCCATCCGCTCCGTGCGGCCCCCGCTGCCTCCCCGGCACTCTCGGGGGACCTGCCCGCCCTGCACCCTGGAGCACCGGGCTGCGAGCCTCTGCCAACTCCTCTGGATCCTCGCGGCCGTGAGCAGCGGCTGCGGCTCCTGTCCGTCCGAGGGAGGTAGGTGGGGGCCGCGGTTGGCCAGGGGGGCCGGCATCGGGCAAGCTTGCGCGCCTCGGTGCAGCCGGCACCCCGAGCGCGCTGGGTCTGGGGCTTGAAACTGGGGCTCGAGGCGGCCCGGAAGGAGAGTGTGCGGGGCGCTCCTCCTCTGGTTAAACTCTTCGGGGCTCAGTGTTTGCTTCTGTAAGATGGGGGAGTCATGCAGTTTAACGGCAGTGTCTACTGAGAAAACACTTGGCACGCAGCAAGCTGGGAGAGGCAGTTTGGGGCCTCCGCCCGGGGCCCCTCCGCAGAGTATCCTGTCCCCTGCAGGGCTAGGAGCCGCATCCCCCACCCCTCCCCTGAACGAGAGGCCCGAATTCCCCGAACCTGGAGAACAGTGTAGACGCGCCCTTGCTGCCTTGTTGGCTGCGGGAGTTCGGGTGTTGGCAGGCTCCCTTGACCTGTGCGCTAAGGGGCCGGGTATTAATATGCAAGTGGCGGCGCGGGGGCGGTGGCCTCCGGGTTAGTCCCGGCCTCGGTCTGCCTGCGCCATCTGGGGGGATTGCGGGAAATCGGCCCAGCTGCGCCCCTAGTGTGACAGATGGGTTGCATGGGAAGGGGGCCGCTAGGTCTGCCTTGTCGGGACGCTCTCTGGGAGCCTGACTTCTGGGTCCTCGGCCCTGGGCGCTGCCTGGCTTGGGGCCACGCAGCCAAGAAACTGAGTAAGGTCGTCCACTCTGATTTTAGAGAGGAAGAAACTGAGGCTGAGGGTGGGTGGTCTAATAGCAGACTCTAAGAAGCAAGATGGAGGAAGTGTGGGAGTAGAGAGCAAGCACATGGGAGCTGCTAGTGCCCGCTGTGTGGATGGGGGGAGGAGGATTATTGGGGAAGGCTTCCTGGAGTAGGTGATGTTTGAGCTGAGCTGTAAAGGACGCCCGTGGAAGGAGGTGGGGTTTAGAGAGAGAGGTATGCAGATATCTTCCTTCTCTGTGGCCTCCACAGCACCTTACGTTCATTCCTTTCAGCATGTATTAATTCAACAAGTGCGATAAAGCTTCTTGATGACGTGAATTCAGGTGTAACATGGTTGGGATTGCCATCCCCTCTTCTCTCTGTCCCCTTGGGCTGGGATCTCAAGTCCCTATCTTCTGCAGGAGGTGGGGGGAGGCATGAAGTCAGGGCCTGATGATTACTTGAAATGGTCTCAGTTTACATATGATCAATTGTGTACCTTCTATGATTTACAATTTTTTTCTTTTGTGCTTTTTGTGACAGAACAGTACTTTTTGGCTGATTAAAGATGTATCACTGATTTGATTTTTAAACATTTTTAATGCATTCTGTGGCAGAGACAGCTGTTGGTCACCAATACCTCTGTTCTCTTCTTCCTGGGGTATCACCTGGACGAATTTCCCAGACTCCCTGCCAGTTTGGTGGGCCACATGACTAAGTTTTGGCTGATGGAATGTGAGCAGAAATAGTATGTTGTCTTCCCAAGCATGGACCCAAAAAATCTCCCCCTCTTTTTCTGTTTACCAGATCAGTTGAGAGGACTCTGAGGGCCTAGAGGAGGGCAGAGCCACAAGCTGGAAGGAGCCTGGGCTCCTGAGTGACTGTGGAGCTGAGCCTCTCCTTTCCACCTCCCCTGGTGGTTGGTGGCTGTTTGCTAGAGACAGTGGGACTCCAGTAAGCTCTTTGGAAGGTCTCTGGGTGTGAGTGGGGCTTGTGGGCTGTGGCCTTCCCCTCAGGGTGATCTGGCTGGGCTGTTCCACTGGGGAATGGTGTTTTTAGGTCTTTTTTCTCACACTGGTCAGATTCCCCAAAGACGTCTTGACCAGTCTCTGTCAGGATTGGCCTCTGGTTGCCGGGACTCTGAGAGCACTGTGGAAGAAAACTGAGGGTCAACAGCAGAAGCTTGGATTTGTTCAGGCTCATTCTCGAGGATTCACTCTTTCAGGTCTGACTCTAAAAGCTAAAGCAGAAGAAATTGATGATCAGGACTATATTCAAAGTAATAGCAGCTGGCTGGACTGATTAAAAAAATAAAAGTTTTTGTGTTGGGGAGATCAGTTCTGCTGACCAAGAAGCTGCATAATGTTTACTGCAGTGAACTGAGAATGTTCTAGAAGGAGGTGGTTGTAGTGACCACCATGGGATGGAAGTGGCTCGAGCCTTAAAGTGCTGCTGGATTAAACTCTCATAGCCAAGGTTGATGGGCACAGGCAAGAAGCCTTCAAGCAAAGGAAGGAATCACTAACAGGCTGATGATAAAGTATAAGATGATCTTCTCTGGGTCCTGATAGTCCCAGGACTGTGGAACATCCAGAGAAGCATTTCAAATGGCTGGAAGGTCAGAGGGGAGACAGTGTTCAGTTCTTCAGCTGTGACATCTTCTCATCTTGGCAAGGACTCCACAGGGACTGGCTGAAAAGCAGGTGGCTCAACCGCAGGAAATTTCTCGAGGCCACTGGTTCTCCAACTTTAGTGCCCATCAGAACCACCTGAAGGGCTTGTTTAACCACAGATTTCTGGGCCCGCCCCCAGAGTTTAATTTAGTAGGACTGGAGCGGGGCCCGAGAATTTGCACGTCTAACAAGTTCCCGGGTGAGGCTGACGCTGCTGCTGCTGGTGGTCCCAGGACCACACTTTTAGAAAGACTGGGTCAGCAATTGATGACTGAGTGGAAGCCCGGGATTCAGCCTGCAGTGGCTTCAAACTCAACCCCCACTTTCTAGCCATGTGATTTTGGGCAAGTCACTTAACCTCTCTGTTCCTCAGTTTCCTCATCTGTAGGATGAAGCTAATAGGGCTTACCCCCTGGGGTTCAAAAGGAGGCTTCCTGGGGGAGGTGACATCTAAGCTGAGACCTAAAAGATGAGCAGAGGAGTTGGCCAGGGGATTAGTAGGGAGGGCAAGCTGGGGCGTGTGCCAGATGGAGGGCACAGTGTGTGCCAAGCCCAGGGAGACGGGATCCTGTGTCCCCCAGGTTGCTGAGAGGAGTTATGTAGCAAGTGCTTTGTAAGTGATCCTGAAATGCTGTGAATCTGTTCTGGGCTGTGGGTCTCAGGGCAGGATCGCCGTGGAAGGGAAGCCGACAGCACGCAGAAAACAGGCTGCCAGGATGGGCCTGGAAGCAGCGCAAGTTACTTCTGCCCACATTCCATTGGCCCAAATGCTGTCACGTGGTCTCACCTAGATGCAAAATGTGCTGGGAAATGTAGTCCTTGGCTGGGCAGGTGAGCACAAATCCATGGTGGAGGGCTAGCTGTCTGTGCCAGTGTGGCTTTTTCTGGCCTCTGGCCACCTCTCTCACCTCTTCACCTTGCTGTCTCTGCTCCACTTTGCTGAATGAGTAACTTTTATAGATGAGGAAGCTGAGGTTCAGAAAGGTTAAGTAATTTGCCCAAGGTCACTCAGCTAGTAGTGGCAGAGCCAGGACGTGAACCCAGATCTCTTGGTCCCAAAAGTCTTGTTGGGCCAGAACCTGGTCTTGGGTGCTTTTTGAAGGTATCCCCATGATCCAGGCTGTCCCGCTCTGGACCTCAGCCATGTCTTTTCTAGCTAACTAACCCCCAGACACCTTGTAATTATAACCCAGTAGTCCCTGCACTCCTCCACGCCTGCAATGCCTATTATATCAGCAGAAATTGCCAACTTTTCTCCAGTTGCTTGTTCATTCATGCAACATGTATTTACGGAGAATCTGGTGTGTGCCAGGCATTGTGCTCTGGGCTGGGAGCTAGAGAGGAATAAGACACGGCCCCTTTTGTTGGAGACACTCACATGGTCTGGCCACCAAGCGGCTGCGTAAACACAGAGTTCCCCTGAGAAGTGAGACATGCTGTCTCCATGGTCTGACCTGCCAGGAGTACAGAGTGTCCTGGTACATGAGCCGAGTGCCCAGCAAATGATTAAAAATTAAAATTCCAGCTCTCTTGTGCATTTTATTAATCAGAGCTATAATTATAACATTTTGTGCTTTGTTTTCCAAAATGTATTTTTCTAATCTGTAAAACAATAAAACAGCCTTTGCACCATAACAGTGTCATGTGGACAGAGCACTGTGTCCTGCGGTGATATTTTTATGAGACTTCGTGGGGTAAGTGTTGACTTACCGCCTTCGATTCCGCCGCAGGTTGCTGTTCTTATCAGTGAGTGAGTTAATTTTTCCGTCTCTTTCTGTTATGCACGGAGGTTTGTTTTTAAAGAGGAGAAGAGGGAGAGAAGGTTGGGGAGGGCTCCTTGGAATTCCACCAGGGTCATTCTGGAGCAGCGTTTCTCAGCCTCAGCACTATTGACAGTCTGGCTGCATAGCTGTTGTCGGGTCCTGTCCTGTGCACTGTGGCATCTTTTGCCACATCCCTGGTCTCTACTTACTAGTTGTACTCCTGGAGTTGTGACAACCAAAAATATCTCCAGACATTGCCAGGTGTCCCTGAGAGGACAAAATTGCCCCAGGTTGAGAGCCACTGTTCTAGACTATATTTGTTTCCAGCTATTGCTACTGGAACAAGTTACTGAAAACTGAGCGGCTTTTAAAACAACACAGATTTATTATCTTGTGATTCTGGAGTTCAAATCCAAGGTGTCAGCAGGGCTGTGTTCCTTCTGGAGGCTCCAGGGAAAATCTGTTTCTTTGCCTTTTCCAGCTTCTAGAAACCAGCAGCATTCCTTGGCTTGTGTTGCGGCCCCTTCCTCCATCTTCAAAGCCCACTGCAGAGCATCTTCAAATCTTTCTCTGTCTGTGACCCCTGCTTCTGTTGTCCTATCTCTTCCTCTAACTCTGACCCTCCTGCCTCATTTTCATAAGGGCCCTGGTGATTACGTTGGGCTTACTGGATCATCCAGGATGATCTCCCCATCTCGAGGTCCTTAACTTGATCGCATCTGCAGAGGTTTTTTTTGCCGTATGAGGGAACATATTGACAGGTTCCCGGGGACTAGGATGTGGACATCTTTGTGTGGCCATTATTCTGCCCACCACCTAGACTGCTGGGCCTCTGGGTGTAACGGGAATG